ATACCTTATAGGTGTTCTGTCTGGAGAGAACCAGATGAGAATCTTTTCCTATCTTTGTTGACTTGAAAATTCGAAAGTTTCTATTTCTTGTATAAACCCCTGAAAGTTAAAACTAGTGAAGTCAGCAAGTGACAATTTTCTCGTCTGCACAAGATCAATGCAACATTTACATGTATTGGCGTCTGATTTTACTTTCTTATTATTAAACACACCTTGGTCACAGAAAATCCCCAATTCACCTTTTCCATCCTTCACAATAAGTTCTCTTAGTTCTTGCAGGTTAACTACAATGGCAAATGAAAGTGCTACGATTACTTTGTGAATTTAGCTTCACAAAAAAATTGATTTCTTTTGTGCATGTGCTCCAGACGAGAACAGCGACTCTCTTCACTTTGGGATAGAAGAGGTCATCAGGAAACTCAGCCAAGTGATGAAGGTTACCTGCCAACACATCAGTCAAATATCTATGCCAACATTGTAATGACCAGGTGACATACTTTAAGGCTGTCAGAGCCAAGTTATCTCATGGCACTAATTACAAAAAACCTCAAAAGCCAATAAGTCACTGTATTTTACAAAATTTAATGAATAATTTTTTTGTTTGGTAAACCTCAAAATAAGATAGTAAATGTAAAGGAAACCCTCACCTAACTAATCTTTGTGTTTGAAAAAGTCTCTTGAAAGTGTTTTCTTTTCCTTACTTTTGTTTCCTTTTAAAAATTTCTGGAAATGCTTCAAATTCCATTTGCTTATTTTGGGAGACACTGGTTGTTTCTTATATTTTCCTTTGAAATTTGGGCAGAAAATTGGTGAACAAGCAGCCAAATATTAATCCCAGTGCACACACTTGCCATTTGACAGCAGTGCTTTACCTTCCAAGGACTAGCTACAGAAACCTGGAAAAGCTCTGGTAACGAGGGGCCATAATGATCACAATGCAAATTCTCTGTTTCAGTGTGATGAGTTTAAACCATACATTATACCGAAAATCAATAATATAATAAAACTGACTTTGCAAACACTACACAATCAGTCCAAAACTGCACCTGAGGTAAAGGTTTCATGTTGTGTGTCTTCTTGTATTTTTGCATTAATTTCAGATGTGTGGACAAAGCCATTTCCAGTCAAGACCTCACTCTTTGGCCATGTTGGTTGATAAGAGTCAGAACCCACATCTTTGTTTGCAGAAAACTCAGAACCAACTCTGAGCTTCCTTTCCAGTAATCACGTTTACACAGACAC